GTCGTTGTCGCGACGGAGCGCGAAAGAGACGATTCGTGAGGGACACCAAAGTGATATGTGAAATCAACCTTTAAATCAGTACTTAGCTGCTGTATATGTATAAGATGTACACGGATATCATGCACTATCGATTCGGATGATGAAACTTAACTTTCGTATATCTCACTTGAAGGATCTCGTCCATTTTTGTGTTTGTATTATATGAATGCTTTGTGTTTCGATATATAATGCAGTGTTATTGCAAAATAAACGCAGAAAAGTTGATGGAACACGGGTTGGGTGAGTTGATGGAACACGCTTGGAACGCAAACAAATCGAAAGAATGTGAAAAGTAATTGATGAACTAGGCATAAGTAATGATGGGTGAAATGGTAGCGTGAAGATAGATTCGTATTCAGCAAATGAATTGCAAATCGAATCGATTCGTTCATTAACACAAAATTCATTAACATTCTCTCGAAACACCACACAAAATCCCCACAGAGAGGGCCGATTGATCATCCATGCGGATCAAACGTCACTCAATGCAACCATGTTATCACCAAATTATAGTCCATCGCTGAGACGCTATCAAAAATTTAAAGAAACGATTGGTATGCGATGAATTATTCAATGTGAACATTTATGTACAATGGAAGTACAGAATTATCATTTCACTTATCAAAATTATCAAAAAAATTATCATCATCATCAAATTATCGTTTATGAATGTTCCATCTTCAGTACTCATGAAATCGCTCAATAATAATTGCTTTATGACGTTGGTCACGCAGACAAGTCCATAACGTGGATAGATTATATCGCTTCAACTGATCTTTATCGTCAGCAGCAATCATTTGTAAAGGCCAGAATCTTTTGCTGTAATATTACTCATTTTGTCACGATGGAGCGCGAAAGAGAAGCACGACAGAGAGAATTGGTAAGGAACACCAAAGCGATATGAACGAAGTTAATCCAATGAGCAAAGTTAATTTGCTAATAAATTCAACTCACTTGACGCATTCCTGCCAGACTCGCATTTCAAGAGGTGATTTGGCCCTTTTTTGCAGGGTCGAATGCACATAGACATCGTATGTGTACAATTCAAACGTTCCAACGGCTATCAGTTCATCCGCAAGGCGAACAGCTACACTTGGCAGACATTCGAACTTTCGCCTGAAAATTCATTTTGAAATCAATCTATAAAT